TTGTTCCAACGGAAGGTATTTCTAGGCTGGAATATTGGTTCATTTACAATTCTAGAAAGCTAGCATACTTTGTTAGTGATGCTATCAAACTAACATCTTAATTGGTAAACAATCCAGACAGAACCACTTACAGGAATTAATCTCATTTACTTCCTGCAAAGGAGGCTGAAGTGGAAACCTCACATTGTAACCACTCTTATTATGTTGCATCCAGTGGAATAGAAGTTTTACCTTCATTTGTGTCTTCATTTAAATGCACAAGTAAAGCTTTAATGAGTGTTGGTCTTCTGGTAAAAAAAATTTCCACTCACAATGCACTGCAAGTGCATTTAGAATTCAGACAACTATTATAAGCAAAATGAAAATACAGGTGAGATAATTTTCCTCCCTGAAGGGTGTATCATTTCCTAATAAATGCTTCATTGGGGAAATAATTATATCAGGCATTTTACACAAATATTTTCTCCTCCAGGGTCTACAAAACGTAAGAGCCACCAAGGGTCAGTTGGTGGTGTTTGAGTGTCGCGTTCACTCCACACCCACCCTGCAGGTCCACTGGTACAGGGAATATGATCAGATCGTGGATTCTGCCGACTTCCGAATCCTGCGGAAAAGTAGGTGTTGCTGCAGCTGTTGGGGGCACAGATATTTTCCTGGGACGGGGACAAGACAGGAATGAGAACTGCTGTAAAAATGGGGAGATGGCTCACAGAAGCAGAGTTAAGTTTACAGTATCAGATGGCCCCAGGCTGCTGCACAGTCTGCGCTTCCTCTGGCAGTGCATGAGTGGGTCAGGCACAACAGGGGGAGATTCCAGGCTGTTAATTGTTAATGACAGCCCTGCTGACCCATGGAGGCATTGCTCCCATGTACTAGAACTGCTGATGAATTCAGGGGGGAAAAAGGCATAACCTCATTTCAAACTGTTTCTTATACTCCCAGGCATGAGGTCAGAGCTCCAGAGGGCCAAACCCACAGCAACCAGCTCCAAAAGCAGTGGAGCTTTTTGTGTATCACCTCAGTGGAAGGTGTTTGTACCACCAGGTTCCCCAGCCACACCTGAGCTTTCTCTGCCCACGTGCTGTTAGTTGTGATGGACAGAAAGGGAGATGGTTTCCTTGTAACCAGGGTGACAGCTGATGTGGGAAAGAGAGTGAGGGCTGAAGGGTTTGGGTTTTTTTTCCATTCTGACATTTTAATAATTTAAATTCTTTCTCTCTTATCTTGGGCAGAGGCTTGTTCATCAGCAGTTCCTGGTAAGTACACTGTGTATTTTTTGTTAGACTCCTCACACACTCGGTATTTCCTAACTCATGCAAAATAAAACAACAATGTCCAAAGGCAGCCAGAAGACAATAGTCAGTCAGACCAAGAGCTTTCAAGTCCTTAATTTTGCTGTAACCACCCAAAAAGCCCTGGTTTTTTCCACAACACTTGGAAAAAGGTATCAATCCTTTCACATTCAGCAAATGAAGAGTACCCTATGCTAAGAGAAAGCATATCTACCATTCTGACCTACGTAATATTTTAAACTTGTGCAAGATAAGACAGAATTTAGAAAAAAGCAAAAAACAAAACCACCAAGAAACAAACAAAAACAACTAAACAAAACACCCACCACAAAAAATGTGCTTTGTTTCATTAATGTCACAGGAAGAGTCTTTAATCTTGCTCTTTAATATGACTTCCAATGCCCTCTACAACACTTTTTTGCACTTTATTAGTGCCAATCCCCATCACTAAGTAAAGAATCCTGTAAAGAGCAGTTGCTACAGGTTAACATTTGCCTCTTGTGCTACATCATGCCCAAATCTCTTATTTCAGAGGAAGTGTGCACCCTGGTTATTACAGAAGCTTTTCCAGAAGACTCTGGAATATTTAAATGTGTTGCTGAAAATGAATTTGGGTCTGCAGCGTCCAGTGCACATCTCTCTGTTTCCCCAGGTAAGCACATGGATTTGTGTGTTGAGCGACTAAGCACAAAAGAATTTGCTGCTGCTCAACATCAGGCAGAATCACGGATATTTCCCAAGCAGAAGCCAGACCCAAACAATTCTGTAGGCTCAAGAGAAGTACCCAAAACATGCAGTCTGCTTGGGTACCTCTCAAAGCTGGATGCAAGTTTTTCTGTGTTTGTGCTTTTGGTCTTCTTCTTCCTGGCTTAAGGATGACAGGGTGGAGATGGTGTTCCCTCTCTCAGAGGGGTCTCACCCCTGAGCTTCATCCCTCCGGGGAGTCCAACTTGGCCCAACACATTGGCTGTGTCTATACCTTGTTTATGGTAGCACCTGACCTATTTGGCTCATGCTGGAAGCCACCTGTAACCAGAACAGTGCCTGGCATGTACCCAGAGCTCACCAGCCCTGCCAAAAGTCAGGTGTGGCTCATGCAGCTGTGCAGGTTTCAGTCTGTGCAGTGCAGAATGAGCCTCATCCCCCTGCTCAGACATTGCAGTTTCCCACCCCCTGTTACTGCAGTGCTGTGCTGCTGAGCCACCCCTGCTCCCTGCCTGACATGGGAACAATTCTACTTCCAGGAGCTAAAGAGCTGGACAGCTTCGGAGGCGCTGCCCCCAGGCCAGCTGTGCAGGTCACCATGAAGAAACCCACCTTCCCCAGGAGCAGCCAAGCAGGAGCCAAGGACCGTGGGGCAGCTGCTCTGCCATCCTACAGCCCAGAGAGCCCCGGGCTGGGCACTCGGGCAGCAGCCTCAAGCTTTGGCCAGAAGAACCCCAAGAACCAAGCTGAAGATTTCCACGGAGCTTATGAGAATTCACCGGCTTCTCCTCTGCGGTAAGACAGAGAGAAAATCACATCCCTGGGCCAGCTTTTTACAGCACTTAAGGCATGAACTGTCCAGAGATCCCAGCTGCACACTCCAGTGGCCCTCACCCTGACAGGGACCAGGCACAGGCAGCAGCCTGAGCTGTTTGCCTGGGTGACAATGACAAGGTGCAGCACCAGCCTGGCAGGTCACAGCACGGGCTCCATTTGACCAAGTGTGTCACCACCTAAAGCACCAGGGAAGGGCCTGAGGTCATTTGCAGGAGTCTCTATCTGTGGCTAACCTAAAAGCACCACTCCAAATAATTGTCCTCTAGGAGACCTTTGGCTCCACAGCAGAGCATGAGGCAAAGATCGCAGTACCTGGGAAATCTCCAGGTACAATTCTGTTACCACCACCTTCCTTGGTGGCCTTGGCCAAGTGGCATCACTTCATGTTTCGGTTTCCTATTCTGAAAGACAGCAATAAAACTTGAGATCCTGTAAGTGTGTTGCAGATAGGACCTGCAAAGCACTCTGTGGAGGAAGAGCACTGAACTAGTGACTCACTGGATAGAAGGAAAGCTGTCCCATGCCATGGCAGGGACACTCCCCACTCAGGAGAAGGAGATCTTCTCCCAGTAATTAAGTATTCCATTTTATAACATGACTTCATCCAATTTCCATCCCAAACACAGTTCTCAAGTCACTGTATGCATGTTGCATTAGCAGTTATCCTGTTTGATTGCTCCAGAGAAACAAATCAGGTTAGAATGCATAGATTGGTGACATCATCCCCATTTCTGGAGGATTTCTCAGGAGTTTGTAGACATAATGATGACCACAAATGGTGACAGTCCAACCATCCAAGCTCAGCAGAGGATTCCCTCAGTCTTGTTAGGGACAGGGAGAGCTACGTGTGGGCAGAGGTGTGCCTGCCCTCCCAGCTGAGTGCCAGCCTGCAGCTGCAGTGCTCCTGTTACAGACTCTGGAAACGGCTGTCCCTGACAGAAACCATCCCCTGGCCTAGAGATTATTTTTGGATGTACTCAGCCATTTTAACAATTCTGAACAGCCTCCTTCAAATTTTACCACAGGAGAGATCATATTTCCATATAGATGTCTCCATGCAGGAGATTTACTTTTTTGCTAAATCACTGAATAAAAATGGTTTTGCTTCAACAACCAGCATGCAGATCATTAAGAGGAAGCCCTCACTTTGCTTTGGCTTCAAGCCTTTCATAGGAAATCCAGGCTTGCTCCAGCTGGGACCCTTAGCAGACCCTAATGCATAAAGGGATTTACCACACCACCAAAATCAGCTATGTCTGTGTGTGTATATATATATATATATATATATATATATAAACAAAAACATTAATTAGTCCAGACTTTGGATGGACACATCTCAAAATACAAAGAGAAACTATAAAATTGCTAGATCTGCCCACGTATAAGAATTTTAATATCTTTAAATCCCACAGACATACTGTAAGGTGCTTTGAAACATCATTATGAATGTGACTCAGCATTGTAAATGTTGCTGTTACCTCAAACTCAGCAATCATGGCTAATGGCTGGCTGTAAAATAACTGCCTTGTTAGTCAGATTTAGTGTATAATTCCCTCATGTAGTGTATGTGGTTGCAACTGTATTACCAAAGGCAAATACCAACAAAGGCAGTGATGACAGAACAAAGCCAGGAATAGCTATAAAATGAATGAAATCCTTGTGCCCGTATTCTCCCAATTATTGCCTAGCAACAGGCACTCCACAAAAGCCAGAAAACACAATTCAACAAGACTGTCACTACCAGCTACTCCTTCCTGAGCCCTTTACACCTGCAGCTTACAGTGTCCTCAACAGCCTTGGAGCAGAATAAAACCATTGCTGATTACTAACTTCGTTAAAGAAATTCAATCCAAGCAAAAGAAGAGGCTTCAAGCACTGATATACTGCCAGGTATTTTAGGTAGCTTTTAAGTGTCCTAATTAATAAGCAACAGATCCTTAACTCTTCTAGACACTTTGCTGTATGACTCAAGCAGTGAGGAGGAAGAACCCAATCAGAAGCAGCAGGGTACCATTCTTAGAGAGTAAACTGAAGCAGGAGAGAAAAGCTGATTTCTGACACCTCGCAGGGCTGGTCACAGTACTATTAAGTTACTTGGCACACGAGATGAGATTTATTCCTCTGCCTTCATCAGTTCAGCTTCCAGTTTTTCACCTTTTTTCCTACCTTCTGGATGTCACGCTTTCCTGTTCCTTCTCTTTCACACAAGCTGTCCCGGTCGTGTCCACTCTTTGAAGTGTGTAAAACTCTCAAACTGATGCCTCGCAGGCAGCTTTAGTGCTAAGTTGAGGTTGGTGGGAAGCCAGGGAGCCTGTCTGAGCACGGAGCCTGCCCTTCACCGTGCTCACAGCTTCCTGCAGGGCAGCGATCATGATCCAGCTACCTTTTTATAAGCAGTCGCCTCTCTCTGGTCAAACTACTTCTTTGAAATTATTTTTCCTTTTTTTTTTCTTTTTATGTAAAAAGCAAATAACCTCTCAGGCAAGTAGGGACAAATTCCCTCCCTTAATCACTTTCATGTGAGGAATTTATATAAATTAACACTCAATTAACACCTGCTCTGTAGTTTTAGCTCACAAACGATGGGGTGATGTTTAAACACAAACACTAGAGGTGGAGTAACCTAGTGAAGGTCGCTGTGCTGACACACTCACGGGCACAGAGAAGATTAGAGGCCACACGCAGCCCAGCTGCGGGACCTTCGGGCTTGGGGTGTTGTTAAATAGGCGATGGTTGCCGAAGTATAATTAAGATATTTAAAACACTATATGTTAATTTAAGATGTAATCAGGCATTGAAGCTGGTGATGAAAGGGATACGAATCACCTAACCTGCCAGCAGGATCTGCTGCTGTTCCGGTGAAAACACCACAGCTGCATTGTTTCATCCATGTAAATAGTTGTGATAACCAACACAAACAGCAAAATATTAATATTTTCCGTATTTTTGTCATATTCTTTCCACAAGGCTAGTTTTGTCACTCGGTTTATGGCTGTTCAGACACATCCATGAGCAATGCCACCGCTCCTGGCCGAGCTCTGTACCGGAGCGGGGTCTGGGTCGCCCCAGGGCTGGGGAGGTGACCCTGGGCACGGAGGGAGGGCTCGCTCGGGTCTGCGGCTGGGGACATTTAAATCACGTTTAAACCTGGCTCTCGAGTGTATGTTGGTTAAGTGCACAGCCTTAAAATCAGTACAAGAGTTTTATCGCCACAGAGGCAATTGGCTACAAACAACTAGCGAATGAATTAAGCACGGAATTTAGAACCGCAGAATGGTTTGGGCTGGAAAGGACCTTAGAGATGACCTTTTTTCTGCCATAGGCAGGAACACCTTTCACTAGACCAGGTTCTTCAGGGCCCCGTCCAACCTGGCCTTGAACACCAGGCATGGGTCAGTCACAGCTCCTCTGGGCAAGAATTTCCTTGGGATAACAAAGAGGGATTTCGGGACGTTCAGGCATATGGCAGCGGCTCTTGCTCGCTGGCGATTCTGCAGTTCTGCCCCTTCTGCTTAAGACAGGGACGCTCCCGGCAGTGCTGAGCCGCGGCCGCTGCCCCTGGGGCCGGGACAGAGCCGGGACAGAGCAGGGACAAAGCCGGGTTAGCAGGGACAGAGCAGGGACAGAGCAGGGACAGAGCCGGGTTAGCAGGGACAGAGCAGGGACAAAGCCGGGTTAGAAGGGACGGAGCAGGGACAGAGCCGGGTTAGAAGGAACAGAGCAGGGACAGAGCCGGGTTAGGCAGGGCCAGAGCAGGGACAGAGCAGGGACAAAGCCGGGTTAGAAGGGACAGAGCAGGGACACAGCCGGGTTAGCAGAGACAGAGCCGGGTTAGCAGGGACAGAGCCGGGTTAGCAGGGACAGAGCCGGGTTAGCAGGGACAGAGCCGGGCTAGAGCCGGGTTAGGCAGGGTCAGAGCCCGGCCAGTGCTGGGTTAAGCAGGGACAGAGCCGGGTTAGCAGGGACAGAGCCGGGACAGAGCCGGGACAGAGCCGGGTTAGCAGGGACAGAGCAGGGACAGAGCAGGGACAGAGCCGGGTTAGCAGGGACAGAGCAGGGACAGAGCAGGGACAGAGCAGGGACAGAGCCGGGTTAGTAGGGACAGAGCCGGGTTAAGAAGGGACAGAGCCGGGTTAAGCAGGGACAGAGCCGGGCCAGAGCCGGGCCAGAGCCGGGTTAGCCGGGCCGGCCGCTCCGGAGCCGCAGCGCCGGGCGGTCCCCGGCCGGGCGGTGCCGGCGCTGCCGCGGGGGATGCGCTGCCCGCGGGCAGCTGCCCAAGGCCCGGCCCTTGCCCGGCTGCGAGACTCTTATTGTGACAGCGGGGACAGGCCGGTCCCGCCGTGTCACCGCTGGCAGCACATTAAAGCTCCGGGCTCGCCCCGCCGCGCAGAGGGCGGCTATGACAGCGAATGACCGTCCTCCCCAAAATACCGGCCGCGGCCCAGGTGACGGCTCCTAGGCTGTAGGTAAGGGGTTTGTCGGGGTTTTCCCACGTCACTTTCCAGCTGGGAGCCGGTCGGGAGGCGGCGTGAGGGACTGCTGGCAATGCTGAGGTGGAGCCGCACCTGAGGGCGCTGTCAAAGGCGACCGAGCCCAAAACACGGGTTTGTTTTTCAACATGCGAACTGCCCCTCTTATTACTTACTGTTTTTATCTTGTAAGGTCAAACGCCTCTTTGGGTTTGTTTTTTTTTTTTTTCCCTCCCAAATCAAGGTGGAAGGATTTGAGGAAAACATGGCTTATCCCTTGCTGTGAGAAGTGACGCTGTGCACCAGAGCTTGGTTAAGGGCAGCGCTCTAGAAAATAAAGTAAACACTGGTTGCTGTCCACAGCCTGTGGTACAGTGAATGTACAAACCCGTGCACGGGTAGTGATATAAAAACGGGATAAAGACAAGACTGAACAAGTTTTCTGCACTAGTGAATGAGGACGTAGTGTGGACACGCTCCAAAAATTTGAGCCAGCTTCAAATTCCAGGAGTATGACAAGGGAAAGGTTAGGGAATTTTTACTATAGGGTCTGTGTTTATTTACAACTAATTCACAACTGATACTGATGATTACCTGTAGGAAATGAAAGCTTTGAGTCCTTAATATCAGAGCAATGTCTCCACTTACCTCCCCTCATTGGAATTTATGACCTCGTGGAACCCTTCTCTGGGCTCTTCAACAGAGGAATACAATATACTGGGTATATATAGCAGTGAAACAGCTGATCTCAGTGGGGCAAGATTACAATTTTTTCCAGCACATGTAACTGTGAGGATTTATATTCTTTTTGTTTTCTGCTTCTTCTTTTTATTAGTGGCTTTATGATTATTTTGTGGGATTATTTATTTATCCTGTAGCTGAAGTAATTTGTCCATTTTAAACAGCTTGCTAAATGAAACTCTCCCGGGTTTTGAATTGATGGAAAGCCCAGGTTTTTAGATATCAAACACCTGCAAGCACTCTGAACAGCTCAGCTTGCCCTACCTTCTCTTGCAGCTCATGTCATTCTGACAATTAGCAGTCTTAATAGCAAATCTTGGGAAATCACCTCAAACAGAGACATACAATCCTTGGCATTCTAATCCCAAATCTGTTGGATATTAGAAGCTCTGAATTCAAAACCCATTAAAGAAGAAATCAAGAGATTTGGTTTCAAAAGTTTAGTTTTAGACTTGAAAGTGAAACTTTCGTGCTTCCCTATGGTACAAGCAATTTCTTGGCACAGACAGCTTTTTCTGGGGAATAGTACATTTAGCATTTTGACAGGGCACAAAACAGCAGGATCCAGGGATCTTTAGTTAAGATGATACATGGGAAATTACCTGGCTTAGCAGTAGTATCTGTGTTTATCTGTAGATTTAGGCAGGTGGTTAACCAGTTGCTATTTCCTTTAGAATTTACTGGGCTCTGGCATATAGGACAAGCCAGGTGATCATTGCACCTGAGCCAGACAGACTGTGTGGCTTGTTACTGTAACCCAAAATGCTCATACAGCTGTGGGACAGTGCTAACAAATCCTAAATAACTTTAAGTTCAAGCTTTAATTGAGTTGAACTTTATAGTGTGTGGATTGCTAATGAGTGCTCAGAACACACTATTTTGTTGATTCAGCTTGTGACGTACAATTTATTTTATCTGTATTGTCTTCCTTAAGGGAAAATCCACTCCAAGAAAGCCTCTATTCTGCAAGGCAAGGGTTCCATTCTATCCAGGAGCCCGGCCAAGAAAACTTTCGTGGCCTATCACCTAGCTTTTACCAGCCACCTACCCAAAGCCAATTATCACCAACAAAAACCCAGGACAGCCGTGAAACCTCTCCTATGAGTGTCCCTAATCTCCCATCCGTTTCCTCTATGTGCCAACCAACCATGTTTAACTACGAACGTCCAAAACACTTTATCCAGTCTAAGAACGTGTGTCAAGGGCAACAGCAGCCTCCAGGACCTGCAGCCTCTACAGAGCCAAGCAGAGAAATCAAACAGTCCTCCATCCTCATCCAGCCTCGTAACCCCAGCGGGCAGAAATTCTCCTCCTCGTCATCGCTGAGCTCTTCAATCACGCTCTCCTCGCCTTCCTGTAGTGCCCCTAAGGAATCCACATATCCCATCACACCTGCATCTGCACAGTCTCCTGCTAGCTCATCATCCGGGCAGAGGCTTCTTCCCATGCCTAACCAATCCCCCGCAGCCTTCCTGTGCTCCGTGCTCCCCTCGCAGCCCGACTATAACAGCCCAGCTCCTTCTCCCGTGGAAGCTCAGTAAGTACACACAGCCTTCTAACCTGCCCTGCTTCCCCCCGGCCTGTCCCAGCACTGACCACCCCAAACCAATGCCCTGGAAAGCCGTGCCATGCACAGATCCACTGACTCTGGTGTGCCGACCCTGCACAGGTCGCGTTAGGAGGCTGAGTGCTTGCCCCTGTGTGGGGATTAAACTGCACAGTGAGCATGTCACAGGCTGCTGGGTGACTTTTCTGGAGCTGGTTTGAATTGTTTAGTTTGATTTGACAGAAATCTCTTAAGGTTATTTAGAACAGAAGACAGGCACCCATCTCAATTTAATTTCTTTCTAAAACGTGTCTTATGAACAGGGAGATGGGGGGAAGGCAGTATTATTCCCAACATAACTTAGAGAGTCCTAGTAAGTCTCAGCAATATTTTCAGGTTCCACATCATGATGTAAATCTAAACTCACCTACAATACCCCTTTTATTAATCATACATGCAGAAGAAAGGCAGCCCCTTGAAAATTTTATCCCTTTAGACCAAAGAATAAATTCTTTCCTAAATATGTATTATATCATTTTGCCTTTGGGCTGCAATCCAAATATCTTCCAAGGTCAGTGAGATCTCAAAGGGAGCTGGGCCTTGCCTTCTCACCAACTTGTATTCCTGCCAATATCAGCTGGAGGTCCTGGGGAAAGTCAGGGTAGAATACGCACAAAGTGAGATATTGGAAAGTTGATAGGGGAAGGG